GACAGGCACATGCACAGGCACACGCACAGGCACAGGCACAGTCACACGCACGGGCACAGGCACAGGCACATGCACAGGCACACGCACAGGCACACGCACAGGCACACGCACAGGTGCAGGCACAGGCACAGGCAGAGCCACACACGTCAGAGCAGAGCTAGCCGTAAGAGTTTGATGCAAAACTAGAGCATAGCAGAGCCACATGCGAAAGGGCAAGTGGGCAGATGGAGGAGGAGATTAGAGAAAGGGGAAGGGGCGTACATCGAGGTAGGCGAAGGTGGTCTTGTTGACACGTGGCATGTGGGCAGATGGAGGAGGAGAGTACACAAGGGGCAGGGGAAGGGGCGTACATCGAGGTAGGCGAAGGTGGTCTTGTCTGCCGCCACCACACCGTTCTTGCCACCGCCCTCGATGACCATGTTGCACAGCGTCATGCGATCCTCCATCTGACAGGGGCAGGCGGGGCAGGCAGGACGAGGAAAGGGATTGGAGAAATCAGGATGGAAGAGGGGGGCTGGGAGTGTGAGGGTGGAAGGGATTGCACAACCAGGGAGGTGCTTACAAGGACGCGAATGAATAGAATACAGAACTCAGAAATTGTCGAGCCGGAAAGAAGGGACTGATAGCAGAGAAAGAGGTCGTGAGAGAATGGGATCTGGTAAAAGAGAGAATAGGCATAACGGGGCGGAGGGGGGGGTGAGGGGGGAACGAGGGTAATGAGGGGGTGAGACAAGGAGATGAGCGGGGCGGGAGGCACTCACCGTCATGGCCTCGACAGCAGTGCCTGTGAACTCCATGGCCCTGTACGTGCCCCCTGCCACTCCGATCTCACCGATGATCTGACGGCCAGCATTGGGAGGTGGGGCCGGACGGAGCGGGAGGGAGAGAAAGAGAGGGGGAAGGAGAAAAGGGGAGAAGGACGGAAAGATGGGGGAGAGGGAGAGGGGGGAAGAGGGAGGGGGAGAGAAAGAGCGGGAAGAGGAAGATGGGTTGAAAAGGGACATTGCAATTTGACAAGTAGTGTCACATGGCGAGCGCAGTGCAGCAAAGAGTGCATGGTGGCGGCTCGGCTGTCGCAACTGGCACGTTACACCACCCACGTACAGGGCGTGTGAAAGGGAGTGCGAAATGAAAGGATTGACGGAAAAGGGAGGTGAAAAGAACACACAGCGAAGAGCAAACCGGGAAGGGAGGAAAGGGATGCAAATAGCCAAGAGAAGAAGTCACTGGGGAAGAAAAGTAGTGCGGAGGGGAGACGAGTGGGAAGAAGATGAAGCGGGAAGTGAACGAGCAGGAAGGTAGATAGCTAACCTGCAGGATAAGGTCCTTAGCGAGCAGGTAGGGCGGCATCTCCCCGTCCAGCACAAACCGGAGCGTGGCCGGCACCTAATGGGGTGGAAACGTCCAAGCGAGAAACAGCGCAGAGAGATGAAGGGAGACGACTAGGAAAGGCGTGGATGATAAGCGGCAGGAGGATCAAGGGAGGGGAGGGGCAGGGGCAGGATGAGCAGGCATGAGGGGCGATGGGCGAGGGGTGCGACGCACCTTGAGCAGGCACTTGCCGGTGCCGAGGATGAAGCCGGCGTCCGTGTTGCCAATGCCCGTCGCGAACTGCCCAAACGCTCCCGCGTTGCACGTGTGCGAGTCCGTGCCAAACAGCACCTGCTCGCACGGCGCGGGAGGAAGCGGGGAGGAGAGGGGGAACGAGGAGAACGGGGGAAGGTGTGCTTAAATTGCGGGAGAGGGCAGGGTAACAGGGTTGGGAACAACAGGGGGCACATGGATGTGGTGTAGAAGACAGTACATGGCATGGCAAGCACAAACATAACCACGGAAGAGCATTGCATCCTGGACCATGCTAAAAATGTATCCATCTTTTCTCCCCCTCCAATGACGTTCTAAACCGACGTTCCTTCCCTCCCCACTCCACTGCCCTTCCCCTTCCCACCCAACCTTTCCCCTCCCTTTCTCCTCCCCCTTTCCCCCCATGTGCGCACCTCGCCTGGTCGGCAGTGCCCCTCCTGCGCGAGCGCCACGTGGCACACGCCCTTGTAGTCGGGGTTGGCCTGCACGCAGCGAGAGCGATAGGCACAGGGAGGATGGGAGAGCAAGCAGGCGACAAGAGTTCAATCGCACGAGCAGTTGTTGTTGGAGTGTCGCGTGCGTCAGCCGTTGGATCATAATAAAATTAGAAAAAGGGACGGTGGAGATTATATAAATACAGCAGGTGCACAATCACCAGCGCACCTGGAAGTTGGAGCGATCGGTGATGTCATAAAAGTACTTGATGCCCTGCCTGCTCCTGCACGGCACCTGAAGTACCTGCTTCAGTGCACGTACTGTCTCCACCTTCAACCACCGGCTTACCTGGAAGTTGGAGCGGTCGGTGATGTCGTAGAAGTACTTGATGTTCTGCTCCTGCACGAAGTCCCTCAGGATGTCCACGTTGCGGTTCGCGCGCTCGTCCGCCGTGAAGATGTAATGGTCCGGGATGATTACGATCTTCTCGCGGTCCCACACCTGCGCGGGGGAAGGTGTGAGAAGGGGAGGCGGCGGAAAGGGGGGAAGGGGAAGGGCAGGAGGGAAACTTGAGCTCCGGGCTGTGGTTGACGCGCTCGTCCGCTTGAAATAAAGAGGGAACGGTCAGCGGGGGAGGAGGGAGGGGGGATGGGGAGGAGAGAGGATAGGGGCAAGGAAGAGGAGGGAGAGCGGCTGTTGGAATTGACTCCACGGCCTCACCTTGGCGTCGGCGCCGAACTCCTTCTTGAAGATGCCGATGGTGCCGGGGCCGCACACGTCGTGCGTCATCAGCACGTCCGTGTTCACCCACACGTTCTCGCCCGGCGCCACGCGCGCCCGCTCCGCCGCGCGCGCCAGGATCTTCTCCGTCATCGTCATGGGGGACTTCACCTGGCGGGGGAGAGCGCGGGCACAGGGGGAAGGGGGAAAAGAGGGAAGCGGAGGCGCGCAAACGGGTGAAGCACGGGAATATGCGAGAGCAGGGACGGGAGGCTTCTCCGCCGCGCGCGCCAGGATCTTCTTCCTGCCGGCGGAAGGCGGAGAGGATTGGGGGGAATGAGGGGGTAGGGGGGTGGGGGAGCTGAAACGGAAGCATGAGAATAAGCGAACGGGGAACTGATGGACGACTTTGCTGTCGTGAATCCGAAGGCGAGAGAACCTTCTCCGTCGTCGTCATGCGCGATTCACGTGGTACTGAGGAGGGAAGTTAGCGAAAGGCTTAGTGTGAACAGCGGGAGTGAGGAAACGACGCTTGCGCAAGATCGCACTCCGCCGTACATGGGTAGTTTCCCCCAGCGAGCGTGGGGGGGGGGGGGGGGGGGGGGGAATGGAGATCAGATCGGTGCACTCCGGTTCCCTGGTGAATCGGTGAGGATGACAGCGAAGGAGGCGGAACGCGAACGGGACAGAAACGCAAGAGCTCGATACCGACGTGAAAGAAGAACGATCGGAATTGGTGTTTGACGGTCGGTCATCAGCGTTCGGCTTACCGCGCCGGTAGAAGCGGGGGTGCTCTGCTTGCTGGGAGCAGGAGGCACAGCGACGGCACGGATCGCAACCGGCATCCGGCTGGCGACGGCTGGCGACGCCGCGGGAAGGAGCCGCGACGACGACACGCCTCCGGCGAAAGTCGTTGAGGAGGAACCATGGTGCACCGCCGCGCCCTGACAGAAACGACGGAACGAGATGAAGCGCAAAGGCCTTGAGAACCATGGCGGAAATGCTAACGAATTTGACATGCGCTGTGCGAAGATTAAGGTGCAAGCTTCAACACCAAAAAACAAATCAAGGAAAAATATGGTCGTCGATTCCAGTACAATGCTGAGATCAGGACCGATAAGCATTGGTCGGGGGAAACAAAAAACGGTATATCAAAGGCCAAGGAACTACACAGAGCTCTTGAATGGAAAAAACGGTCACAGGAAACAGGTGCTTGGTCTTACGGGTGCACGGAGGGCTGTCGCTGGCACTAAAGCAGCCATGATGACCAGTCCACGCTAACGATCTACGACAATCGCCGACCACAGAGAGTCAGCACTTCGGAAAGGTGAAATATAGGCAGACGACGCTGCCGGCAAGGTAAGGTAGAGAAAGAAAGCAGCTGCCTTGTCTTGTAGACTCCACCACAGCCTAAGTTTCAGGAAAGGTTCCTTGGGAGGCGGAATCTAAAAAGGCAAGGCAAAAATAAGAAAGTGTAAGGTCAGAGAGACTGATATTGAATCGTCATCTCTCAAACAAAGCACGGTGGAAAGCGTTTAGCAGGTTGAGGGAGAACCCGATGAAGCCTGAACGCGCTGGAGCTGCCGCAGCTGTCCAATCCGAGCCAAGCCACTCTTGCGTCCACCTGAAAAAGCTCACGCCAACAGATCTCGAGGGCCTAGGGAGTGTCGTAAGCACACGCAACCTTGGCGAAAAAGAGACGATTGCTGCGCTCCACCTCGTCCAACAACATGACCGTCGCGAGTCTGGGTTTTGCGACTTTTTTGTTCTGGGTTTCGCGGAGGGTTGGGAGAGGTGGCGGGTTGGTATTGGTGGAAATTTGAGCAGCTTGGTTGGAAGTGGATCTGTCTGCGAAAGTTGCGAAAGGGGGAGATGGACACCCGAGTCCCAGGATATTTTTGCAGGTTGCGAAGTTACGAGGTTCCGCCGAAAATAGCTCAGCGGAATCAGGTCGACGCCCGAGGGAGCTCGCTGCCCGCGGGAAAAAAAAATAAACCCCAGACGGGCATGCATCCGGTCAGGGAGCCTCAACCCTAAATGCCTGGAGACAGGCATGTCGACCTGATTCCGCTGACATCTTTTGCCCAAATGCTGCAGCTTCGCGACATTTCTAGACTGTCGTGAACCAGCGAAGCATTTACACTAGAATTTACCACTAGAACGGACAAGCAGACACGGGCAAAAGGGAACAGACATACTTACAACTTAGTCATACTCCTTAGACCGATAGACGGCCTAGGACAACAACCATGGCGAAGAACATGTCAGGCATTTTGAGGAAAGCATGTTCGAACGGGAAAGCGGCGAAGGGAATAGAAGAACCGAGTGCAGTGAAATTACTCTCTGGTCGGGATGTGGAGGGTGAGGAAGAGTCAACAGACACCGATGAGGAAGGAACAGATTCCGGCGACGAGAGCAAAAGCGGAGAGGAGGAAGGGGAAGACAAGGGAGATACAGGGGAAGAAGAAGGGGAGGTAGGAGAGGATGAGGAGGATGGAGAAGACAGCGACGAGGAGGAAGCAGATGAGCGAGAAGAAAGCCAAGGGTTTAGGATACTAGGTCCTGAGAAGCCGCCTAAGAATGTCCCCGCTGTTTCAAATCCAGGGATTCAGCCTAGTTCAGCGTCCGCTTTAAACCCGGTCAGAAGCTTCGACGAAATGGGACTGGATCCGCGTCTGCTGCGCGGGCTGGTGAAGCGGCGTCTGCTGAAGCCGACTCCCGTACAGCAGTACTGCGTGCCGCTTGCTATGGTGGGTGCCGCTCGTCGTTGAGTATTATAGCCATCAGTTATAGAGCTAAAAATCGCGGAAAGTGAAATATATTTATCAGGACGACAGGACCGCATTCGGCGTGTGCTGAAGTGCGTTAAGACGGTTTCTAAAATAGCAGGGAAGCAATTTGCAGCAACATCTCAGAGAGACCCAGAACCTCCCCAAAACCCCGTTTAACCATCAACCCTTCCTCCATCTCCTCGCCTTCACGATCGATTGCCCTCCCTCCATCACCGCCCTTCATCATCTCCTCTCTCTTGGCGCAGGAGGGGCGCGACGTGGTGGCGATGGCGCACACGGGGTCGGGCAAGACCCTCGCGTACCTGCTGCCGCTGCTGCACCGCGTGCTCGCCGACAAGGACTCCGCGCCCGCCGCCGCTGGCGCGGGGGGGACCTGTCCGCGCGCAGTGGTGCTGGTGCCCACGCGCGAGCTCTGCCAGCAGGTGCGCGGAGGAGGGCACAGGGAGAAGGAGGGCGAGAGATTGTTGGGAAAGGGGTGAGGAGGGAGCGAGAGAGAGATATAGTGAGTTGGCCGCGGGTGGCTTCCAGGGGGCACTTGTCCCCGCGCAGTGGTGCTGGTGCCCACGCGGGAGCTCTGCCAGCAGGTGCGCGTGGCTGGGGGAGGGCGGAGTAGAAGTAGGGCGAGAGATTGTTGGGAGAGAGGGAGGGGGGAGGGAGCGGGTGGTAGAGATTTGGGCAGGAGAAGATGCATGCGTTTGGTTGAGTATGCTGCCACCGTTTGACCCGCTGCATTGTTCCCGCATGATCCCTGTCAACCGGCCATGGCACTGGCAGGTGGCGGAGGAGGTAGCAGCTATGGGGCAGTACTGCGGGGGTGCACTAACCGTACAGCGCCTCACCACCGGCATGAACAATGCTGCCATGGTGAGTCGAATCTTCCCTCCTTTTTTGACTTTAGAGATCACAAGCAGGAAAAACCACTCGGTTGCTTCCTTCAGTCCGTCTGACTAAGTTAACCCTGTATTCCCCGTGCCATGCTCTCATGTTATCCACCATCCAAACAACATGCCTCATGCTCTCCTTTATCCCCCATGCAAATTTCCAAATCCCTCCCCTAATTGACCTCCTCCCTGCAGCGAGCGGCCATGGAGAAACCAAACGTGATAGTGGTGGCAACGCCAGCGCGCATGGCATGGCAGCGTGTGTGGCGGAGGGCATGTCCCCTTCGTGAGTCATCCCCCATGTCTATCCCTCCTTTTCTCCATGCGCTCTCCCCTCTTCTTTCTCCCCTCACTACAGCGAGCGGCCATGGAGAGGCGACCAGACGTGGTGGTGGCAACGCCAGCGCGCATGGCGGCGTGTGTGGCGGAGGGTGTGCTGTCGCCCTCGGCGCTCAAGACACACCTCGCTGTCATGGTGCTGGACGAGGTGCGGGAGTAAGGGGGTGGATGGGTTAAGAAAGGGGAGGGAGGGCGTTGAGGGAGGGCGAGGCAGGACAGTGTGTTGTTGAGGCAGGGGACAGATGGCGTGGGTGGGTGGGTGGGTGGGTGGGTGGGTGGGTGGGTGCGTGGGTGGGTGGGTGGGTGGGTGGCGGCGTGTGTGGCTGAGGTGGTGCTGGCGCCCTCGGCTCTCAATACACACCTCGCTGTCATGGTGCTGGACGAGGTGCGGAGAGGAGGGGAGGAGGTTGGGATTGCAATGGGCGATTGGTGCAGGTGTGAGGGGGGGGACGAGGGAATGCACTGCGAGCTGTCATAGATGCTGCCATTTGTGCTCCCATGGCATTGACAGTTAACACACGTCATCCCTCTCTCCCGTTGCATGTGTGCCATGCCAACAGGCAGGTGTCCTGCTATCGCACGGGTACTACGGTGAGGTGCAGGCCATAGCGCGCCACGTGCCTGTCAGCTGCTGCTACCAGTCCCTCCGCTCATGCAACCCTCCCTGCCATCCCATGTGTGCCAACAGGCGGATGTGCTTTTATCGCACGGCTACTACAGTGAGGTGCAGGCCATAGCACGCCACGTGCCTGTCAGCTGTCAGTGCCTCCTCCTCACCGCCACCTTCAGGTCAGCTCCCCTCCCTTTTCCAGGCCATTCTTGGAAATCAAAGAAAAACAGACAAGCAAACACCAAAACGGCTCACTCTGTTTGGTCTAACCCGCGCTCCTCCATCCCACCATACTCCCTCCCCACTTCCCACACCAGTGACGACATAGAGCGATTGCAGAAGTTAGTGCTGCACAATCCAGTGGTCGTGCGACTAGGAGACAGCTCAGGTCTCCTTGAGGATGCCCAGGGGGGTGCTGGGAGTGTTGGTGGTGTGGGTTTGGGCGTGGAAGGACAGGCAGTAGCAGAGGCAGCTGCTGCAGGTGCAGGAGAGGCAGCAGAAGCAGGTGCAGGAGGTCAGAGTAACCAGAACCAGTCTCTCCTGCCGCCCAATATCCGCCAGTTTGCCGTCCGCTGCGAGGAAAAGGACAAGCTACTCCACCTGCTCGCGCTGATTCGCCTGCAGCTGCTGCAGAAAAAGGTTCTCATTTTCACCTCCACTGTCGAAGCCGGATTCCGGGTGAAACTTTTCCTCGAGCAGTTTGGCATCCGGGCAGCCGTTCTAAATTCCGAGCTGCCCGTCGCGTCGCGGCTGCACATTCTGCACGATTTCAACGCCGGAAAGTTTTTCTTCCTCATTGCCACAGACGACGACAATGGGGGGCTCTCAGCGAAAAACGGGGGGAAAGGGGGGAAAGGGGGGAAAGGGGGGAAAGGGGGGAACAATAATGGAAAGGTTGATTCTGGTCGAGACTCTAAGCGACGTAGAGTACGGATAGCTGAGGGAGGGGAGGGAGGGCGGGAAGAGGGAGAAGAGGAGGTGGAGAGGGATACGGGGGAGTATGGAGTGGTGCGGGGGATAGACTTCAAGAACGTGAGGACAGTGATCAACTACAGTGTGCCGAACCAGCTTGCGCCGTACGTCCATCGGGTGGGGAGGACCGGCCGAGCCAGCAGCGTTGGCATGGCAATAACCCTGGTACGGCAATGCTTCCTTCCATCTCTCATGTGCCACATCTTTCCGTCTCTTGGTTTTGGAACACACACGTGTCGCACTCTCAATCCCTTCATCCCTTTCCACACCCTCGCTGATTGCTCTTCCCTGGCAAATCGCTGATTGCTCTTCCCTGGCAAATCGGTGCCTTTTGAGTCGACTCAAAAGCTTTCCACACCCTCGCTGCTTGTTCTTCCCTGGCAAATCGGTGCGTGCCAGGTGTCCCCTAAAGAGGCGCCGCTATTGGAGGCTCTTGACAGGAAGATTGCCCAGTCCATGGCACGTGCGGGCGGCGAGAAGGGCGGCGAGGATGGCAAGAAGGGCGGCACGCATGGCGGCGTGGAGCATGGGGTTAAAGGGGAGAGTGGGAGTGGTAGCAGTAGGAAGCGAGCAAGGGAAGCAGAGGATGAGGAGGGGGAGGAGAGTGAAGAGGAGGGAGAAGTGGAGGATGACGAGGAAGAGGGTGAGGAGGAAGGAACAGATGAGGAAGAGGAGGACGGCGAGGAGGAACAGGAGGAGTCAGAAGAAGAAGAGGAGTCAGACGAATCAGAGAAAGAGGAAGACGAAGACGAAGAGGAGCCAGCAAAGCCGAAGCCATACGAGTGCAGGGCGATCGTGCCGTACCCGTACCTGCCCAAGGAGGGCGTTGAGGCACTGCGGTACCGCGGGGAGGACGTGGCAGGGAAGATCACCCGCGTGGCCATCCGCGAGGCGAGAGCCAAGGAGCTGCGGTGGGAGATTCTCAACTCGGAGAAGCTCAAAGACCACTTTGATCTCAACCCCAAGGACAGAGGTGCGTGCACTTGTGCCTCATTCTCCCTTCCTTCCCCTCATTCTCCCTTGTGCACCCGCCCTCCGCTTCTTCCTTAGGCACATGCACGTGGTCATGCGGGAGGGGGTGGGAGATTCTCCATTTGGAGAAGCTCAAGGACCGCTTTATCTCCTCACCAGCTTCCCTGAAACACCACAAAGAGTGTCTCCTTATTCTTGTTTCAACCTCACGACACCCGGCCCCCTCTCTCCCCCGCTCCCCCACTACAAGGTCCTTGGTCCTACCATGCCTGGTCCACCTGCTTTTTGCTCTATTGTTGCACGCCAGGCCTCCTCAAGCACAAAGTGCTTGCCAGCCAAGGTCCTAATTGCACACCCATTTGCCTCCTCATTGCACACCCACTCACCTTCGGTCACCCCCTGTTTGCTGCATCGCCCCCGCCAGACCTCCTGAAGCATGACAAGGTGTTGGCCAAGGTCGCCCGTCATTTCACTCTCACATACCCGCACACCCTCACACAGTCTTTCACCCCGTTGCTTCTCCATTACCCCCCGCCAGACCTCCTGAAGCACGACAAGGTGCTGGCCAAGGTGGCCCCCTCCCCGCATCTCAAGGTCCTCCCAACGTACCTTCGTGCCGAAGCTGTCACGGAGGCTCGGCGCAAGTTCCTAACCGAGTTGCCTCCTGCAGAGCAAGACAGTCGGGATGGGGGGAAAGGAGGGAGAGGAGGGAGAAGGGGAGGGGGGGTCAACAGAGGCCACAGGGGGAGGGCTGGGGGACGGGGACGGGGAGGAGGGAGAGGAAGAGGGGGGCGAGGAGGCAGGGGCAGGTCAAACGATCCGTTGAAAACGTTCAGTGCTAAGTAACACGCATACATACATGCACTTGATGAACCCATTAGTTGCGAGTATTCTGCACGCAAGTAGCACGCATGCACACACGTGGTGTCCGCAAGAGTTGGGCGTGCGCGTTGTTAGGCTTCTGATAAATGTCTAATATGCATTTGGTGTTGGCACTTACTGAACCAGCCAAGAGGGACCAAAGTCCCCATTAATGATTTACGTGAAGGAATATACTGTATCCATGTGCAACTGTGCGTAGCTTAGGGCTATTGGCCGCCAGAAACACACCCCGCCATCGGAAGCTCGCAGTAGTTAAGGGAAGTGCCCTTCAGAGCAGAGGTGCCACGGGCAGTTAAGAGGATCACCGTTGGCACCACCGTGCTGCTTCTCTCCTCTCGCCACCTCTGCTGATCCACCACCTCTCGCCTCCTCTGCAGCTCTGCTGCTCCACCTCCTCCTCTGTTGCAAAAAATGGCTGGCGTTGCCTCACCTCTCACTGGAAACGAATGCAGATGAGAGAGTCAAGATGACACTGATTGGCTGCTACAACGATAAGATCCACGGGTCTGTGCATTATATCTACGAATCGATGATTTAGTCGTTTTAGGCAATTTCATGTAACTGGATTAATCAAGCCCTGTTATTAAACTGCTCGGATGCACAGTCCTGTGTGCATATCCCCCACTTGGTGACTCCAATGCACAGCCCAGTGCTCGCCTGGTGCACCATCTCTGTAGCTAGCCTGCCGTGATGCATAAGCGTTGTCATTATGTCCCCTTGACGTTCAAGCCATGGGCCCAATGCTTATTCCCCGTAGTTGGCGTGCTCACATGCATAAACCTGTGGTTAGTGCGCTCTGATGCACAGACTCGGTGGTTAGAATTCCCGGTGCACATCCCTTTCATCCGCATGGTCTGGTGCACAAGCGCTGAGATTAGGCCCGTGGTCAGCCCTGCGGTTAACCCTGTGGTTAGCCCTGTGGTTAGCCCTGTGGTTAGCCCTGTGGTTAGCCCTGTGGTTAGCCCTGTGGTTAGCCCTGTGGATAACCCTCTGTGGTTAGCCTGGTGGATAGAGCCCTACGCAGGGGGTTGCTGAGGTGGGTGGGTCTCGAGGGGAGGCGGGGCGCACAAGGAGGTGGGTTGCAGGGGGGGCCACGCGTGTGGGGGGATTAGGGACAGGGGAAGAGGAGTGTGGGGGGATTCCTATGCAGGGGAGTGGAGGGAGCGGGGCAGGAAGGAACCTATCTTATCACATTCTATCTGCTTCAGCTCTACCACGGGTCTTAATCCTCCGTCTTGCCTTCCAAACGGATCGGCTTTGGTTGCCCTGGAAGCAGACGAGAGGAGGTAATGCAGACGAGAGGAGGTAATGCAGACGAGAGGAGGTAATGCAGACGAGAGGAGGTAATGCAGACGAGAGCTGAGCTTCTCTGCATGATAAAATAAGACCTGATTTGAAATGATGAGTGTTGTCCAATTCAGGCACATGATTTTCATGGTTTTGCTACCTACACAATGTTCATGATATGATATGATATGATATGCTATGATTTGATATCATGATATAATATGCTGTTCTTGGTGTTCGGTTGCTTTTTGCTCACATTCACAAACAACGACGAGCTCTTCCGCTGATGGCCAGTTGGCTGCACTTCATCTCACTTCATCTGAGTTCACTTTTCAGTCCAAACCCGTCATGTCAACAACACACCCAAAAGGAAGCAGAGAGGAAGAGAGGGGCACTCGAGAGACAAAGAGAAGATACGAGGGTAAGAAAGAGAACCGAGCATGTGGAAGGACAAGGATGAAGCTTATGAGACCAGGTCACTGAGAGACCAGGTAACTGAGAGACCAGGTCAGCTGCGTTGCTCGCGCAATCATGGCTGTTGGGAATGGAAGGCAGTGCCAAATTATGACCCTTGGTGCATGGTGGTGGTGGTCCATGGTGCTATGGCAGCAGAGCTCATGTAGAGTGCAGTGTAGTGGGAGTGGTGGGATAGAGTAGTGGAGAGGGAGTGCATTCATGCCATGCGTGCATCCCCCAGTCCCCCCTCGCTGGCTCAGCTCGCTGCTCTAGTGCCGTGGCCCACTGTCTGTTGGCCCACTGTCTGTTGGCCCACTGTCTGTTGGCCCACTGTCTGTTGGCCCACTGTCTGTTGGCCCACTGTCTGTTGGCCCACTGTCTGGTGGCCCACTGTCTGTTGGCCCACTGTCTGTTGGCCCACTGTCTGTTGGCCCACTGTCTGTTGGCCCACTGTCTGTTGGCCCACTGTCTGTTGGCCCACTGTCTGTTGGCCCACTGTCTGTTGGCCCACTGTCTGTTGGCCCACTGTCTGTTGGCCCACTGTCTGTTGGCCCACTGTCTGTTGGCCCACTGTCTGTTGGCCCACTGTCTGTTTGCCCACTGTCTGTTGGCCCACTGTCTGTCTGTTTGCTCAAGTTTCCGAATTCTTCAGCTTAATTTTCGAGTTGCTCTCCTCTGTTTCTGCCTCCAGTGCTACCCCGTTCTTTGCTGAGCTTTCTGCTGCACTCATTCAGAATTCATTGCCTGACTTCTGCCCTCGGCCAATCCCGTTGCTGCATTCTCCCCCCACCATCCTCTGGTCTCGGGCAAATGGAGGGCAGGCGGCAGAGCAGCAGAGCGGTGGATGCAGCCGTGTCGCGGGCGGCAGAGCAGCAACATGGCAGTCAACATCAGTCAACAAAATTCAACACCAGTCCTCAGTACTATGCATTCCTTTCACTGCACCCGCTCTCTACTTCGCTCTCTTATAACACTGCAGTTGTAGTGGCAGTGGCAGGAACTTGGGACGTTATAACACTGCAGTAGTAGTGGGAGCGGCATCAATCTGTGACATTGAAACACTGCAGTAGAACTGGCAGTGGCATCAACTTGGGACAGTAGAATTTAGAGCACTGAGTCGTGGTGGCAATAGCAGGAACTTGGGACATTAGTGTTAAATATACAAACATAAGATGATACTAATGCTGTTAGGTTTTACTGTAGTGTTCCTTTATAAGACTCTCAGCCCTCCAATAATTGTACAATTATTGGAGGGTCAGAATTATTGGAGTCTAGAATTATTGGAGGGTAAGAATTATTGGCGGGTAGAATTATTGGTGTGGCGTTGTTGGTGTGGATAGAACCATCCTGAAGGGGTTAGCTGCTCAAGATAAATACCCTGCTCTGTCATTTCATAATCATCCTATTGTTCTGAATCATTTCAGTTGCAAGTTCCTCTTGCTACTTATTCTACAATCAAGCTTCCGCAACGCCGGCACTATGCCTTTCTAGCATGGTATCAGAGCGAAGGTCTCGGGTTTGAATCCCGGTGTATGCACTTCGGGCATCCCAGTGCGGGGGGGTGTCAGAGGTCCACTGGTGATCCCCGATTGATCCTAGGAAAGGGTTACAGGCACGTTGGCCTGGGGGGTTATGGGCGCATTGACCCGCTACTTAAAACAAGCCCTTTTATCCCAATGGTCTAGTGGTTGGGATTCTGACATGGTATCAGAGCTACTCTAGGGGGCATGCTGCCGAAATTTGGTTAGAACCTTGTCAGCATTCACATTGGACAGGGACATTAGCAAACTCGCACAGCAAGTGACAACATTTGGATTGGAGGCATGGCGCGATTCGACGATGAAGTCGATGCTGGATACGAGGCGTTTGAAGAAGCCATCATGGCTCAACATGAGCACCTGGAGAACATGATTGCAAGGGCACCACCAACACTCCAAGCGTCATTAAGAGCAAAGTTCAACATGCCAGCCCAAGTTCGAGATTTCAGCAACCCATCCATCCGTGAACAGTCACATGCAAGCACTCCGCGTACTAACCAGACCCGTACTTCAAATATGGATGCAGGGATTGAAGGTGAAGGAGAGGGAAGCTTACCCCAAGGAGGAGAGTCATCCCAAGGGAGGGATGCATCCTTCCAAGGAGAGGGGAGCTCCCACCCCGAACCTCAATCAACCATGCAAAGGGCAGCAACGGGGAGGGACGATGCGTACGGAAGTGGAACAAATGTGATGGAGCATGGTGATGGGATCGGCGTGGGAAGAAACATGAGAGGGCAGATTGGGGAAGGGAGTGGTCGAAGCAGTCATGTGGGCATGGAAGGTGTGGGATTCGAATCCTACACTATTGGTGCTCCCCCACTGCGACGTCTCGCTACTAACTCCCATCCCATTGGAGTTCCCGTGATGGGCAGATCTCACCTCTTTGGCAACAACGTCGTACCTCCTCGTGCGCCACAGTTTCAAATGGAAGCTGCACCTGCAGGAAGCATGGGGCGCATGGGGCACGGGATGCAGTCAAGTGGTGTTATGCGACGTGATCAAGTGGAAGTGGTGGAACGTGAAGGCACACAACGCACGGTACAACTACCTCGACCATCTAACGTGCCTACGCTCTTCGACCCGTCTCCATGCGAGTACACGGAAGAAGACAAGGACAGGTTGTCACGCAAAATGGTGGGAGCAGCAGTGGACAAAGCGTTCACAACAACTCCATTCGACGGCACTAACTTTCGAGAGTGGGCTCTTCGGTTTCGCATGAACGCGCGCGTGACAAACCTGTGGGAGTTCTTCGTGACGCTACAATACCCGGTTACAATGGTGCAAGGAGAAATGCGAGATGCAATGGAACGGCTGGAAGTTCTACAAGCAGATTACTCACAACGTGCTACGCTGGCTTTTTGGGTGCTTCTGCATAGCGTAAGCGCAACGATTCAGCTGCAACTTGACGTGTTCCAAGAGTCATACAGTCCGGCATTCGAAGCATGGGAGTACCTGATGGAGACTTACCAGGCGAAGGATTCGGTGGCAAAGGCGTCTCTCCAGAGGCAATTGGACAACCTGAAGATGGGGAGCCAAGAAAGAGTGGAGGACTACATCAACCGAGCAACTGCAATTCGGGATAAGCTGGCAATGGCGGGAAAAATGGTGGATGAAGATTCATTCACCTTAAATTTGATCACCGGGCTGCCACCGCATTGGGAGG